CCCCCACACACACACAAAAGAAGAAGAAGAAGATGAGATCACATACAAAGATCTGTTTAAAATAATAACAAGTTAATAACAAGTGATTGTTTTTGTTTTTGGTTTAACTTTTAAGGTATCCTCAATCAATTGGTGGCTAGACTAATCCAAATTTGTGCCAGGTAAGCTCATTAAACAGTAAAATGCTTTGTACTGCACCACTCGATCGTGATAACTCGTGACCGTGCACAGCGAGGCAGGTCAAGACGGTACATTATTTTCCCCGCACAAGCTGATATTTCTCCCTCCTGATCTTTTTCTTGTGCAAACCAATAAACGTACAAGTATCGTATTTACAGGCTCACATGTGGATTTCTGCTACATGCCATGCTACTTTAAACCTAAAAAGTATAATATCCGCCTCCCATATTAAAACATCTTTCTTTCTCAACAACAATTTGGTATCGGCTGCTTGAGTGTCTCAGTTCAAACGGAAAAGCAGGCTGATGGGTGGAAACCATACTCAAAGCATATATTCCAAAGCCACCCTTGTTAAATCGTAAAGCGACCCAATCCTTGCAAATTAACACTTATATTATAACATAAATAAATACATGCAGCACCACTCAAGAGATAAAAGAAAGACTTGAGAGTTAAGTACCAAAGCAAGAAAAGATAGAGATGGATTGGTTGTATCCCAAAAGAAGGGGTCCAGAATGGAAACAAGGTTGGACAAACCAGACACTAGCCTCAGTTTCAGTTCCACCCCTTCCATTGTTGGCCATATTTGCCATTGTTGTTTTCTTGCTGTCATTGTCTCAATACAATAACTATAAAGAACAGTTGGAGCAAACTAGGATCAATTTGCAGCTATTTTTCTATCTACTACCAGTCTTCTTGATCTTCCTCATGCGTTCAAGCATGCTAAATGGGGGATTCAGCTTCTGGGGTCCGTCGCAGCCTCGGCACAACAACTCCTTTTATAAAAGAAGCAGAGCAGAATTTCCATGGGGTGTCGCAATCTTGGTGGTGGTTCTTATAGTGCTGGTTTCTTATCAGTCCTCATTTCAGTCCAAGTGGTTCCCTTTTAGTGGATCAGATTAGTTGTGTCTTCTCCAAGTTTTAGCTCATGAATCCCTTTTACAAGTGTGAAGAAATATGTATCCAGTGTGGATTTAAGGTGAGTTCAATAAAACCATTGTTTAGGTATAACTGTTGTTCTAGCGTTGATTGTAATCTTTGAATAGAGCTTTAATTTCTCATTGAGACTTGGTTACAACATCATTTGAGCTCTGATCATCATTTTGTTAGGATCGAAAAATCAGGTGACATACGGAAGCTAGTAAAGCAAATCCTGAATGATGAAATCAGATTAAAGAAATATACCAAACGAGACACAAACACTTAACGTAGTTCGGTCACTTGACCTACGTCCACGGGTAGAGACGAGCAATCCACTATATTAAAGAGAGTACAAAATATCGAGAGAACAACCTCACGAAAAGGCAAACACAAGTGACACACTAACACTTGTCCTGTAAAGTTCTCCCACTAAACACGACTCTCAAAGCCTTTATGTCTATATTATACTGCTGAATGAGAATGTAACATCCTCAATTTGTTACGGAAGATTTACAATTTTCTATACAAGAAGAAAAACACAATCATGGTAAATATATTGTCCTTTCCTTTGAGAGATAAAAAAATTATATGTTGTAAGAAAATCAGGACAAACACCTAACACATTTGAATATGATCATTGACCTGTATTTGCTTCTCTCTTGTACCCTTTTTGGCCCAAGTTATATAGTTTTATCTATGTGAGTTTTGCAAAGTTCTATCTTACGTTGGAGTAAAACAAAGTTGCATTAGGCTGGCGCAGTTAGTGTAAGATTTAAGAAATCGTCAAATAAATAATGAATTCTTTGATTTGAACATGGAAAAATTGATATAGAGGATTTATTCAGCTTATACATAAATTCGGTGATAATTTATAGATTAATTAGCAAAACATATTTTTAATCTAGTGTAACGACCTGACCGGTCGTTTTGAGCTTTTGCACTTTGCTCGCCATTTCTCGGGCATGACTTGCCCCGTGTGATGTATTATGACCTATGTAAGTCGTTGGTTTTGGTTTTCAGGGTAATCGGAATGAATTTGGAAGAACAGTTCTCAGTTTGAAGCTTGAAATTTGAAAAACAAGTTTGACCAAGATTTGACTTGTTGGTATATGATCTCGGATCGGAATTTTTATGATTTGGTTAGCTCCGTTAGGTGATTTGGGACTTAGGAGCGTGATCGGAATGCATTTTGGAAGTCCGTGGAATGTTTAGGCTTGAATTGGCGAAATTGAGATTTCGGCATTTTTCGGTTGATAGGTGAGATTTTGATATAGGGGTCGGAATGGAATTCCAAGAGTTGCAATAGTCCCGTTGTGTCATTTAGGACGTGTGTGCAAAAGTTTCAGGTCATTCGGATGTGGTTTGGTTGGGTTTTTGATCAAAAGCGGAATTCGGAAGATTTTGGAAACTTAGGCTTGAATCCAATGTTTTTTGATTGATTTGATGTTGTTTGAAAGATTGGTACAAGTTTGAATAAGGTTTTGGGATATGTTGGTGCCTTTGGTTGAGGTCCCAGGGGCCTCGGGGTGATTTCTGATGGTTGACGGGGAGTTTGAACTTTGTTGCAGCTGCTGAATTTGCTGCTTATGATATTTCTGCACCTGCGGATTGGGGACCGCAGGTGCGATGCCGCAGGTGCGATAAGGGAGGTCGCAGAAGCGGAAATGCCTGGGAAGGCAGGGACGCAGATGCGGTTGATGGACCGCACCTGCGAAGGCGCATGTGCGGAATGTTGAACGCAGGAGCGGTTTGACCGTTAAGTGAGGAACCGCAGAAGCGGTTAGTTGGCCGCATATGCGGTACCACAAAAGCGGTGAAAAGGGCCGCAGATGCAAAAATGCCTGGACAGAAGGTATAAATTGTGCCCTTCGCGATTTTGAGCTATTTTCACCATTTCTATCTCGGCTTGGGAGCTTTTTGAGAGGATTTGAAGAGGGATTCAAGAGATAACACCTGGAAGTAAGATTTTCGAGCTCAATACTCGATTCTTGTGTGAATTCTACCTAATTAATCATGGAAATTAAGCCTAAAATTGAGGAATTAAAGCTTGAATTTGGAGAGTGTAAATTGGGGATTTGAAGGGGCAATTGAGGTTCGATTGTGATGTTCTTGGTATGTATAGACTCGTGAGAGGACGAGGATTCTATGGATGTAACTTTTACCGGATTCCGAGACGTGGGCCCGGGGGCCGGGTTTCAGCAATTTTGGGATTTTTGATGTAAATTGGATATTTTCGAGTGGGCTTTGTTCCCTTAGCATATTTTAATAGTTATGTATTGATTGTGGCTAGATTTGGAGCATCCAGAGGTCGATTCGTGAGGACAAAGGCATCGCGGGCTAGAGTTTGGACCAGATCGAGGTAAGTAATGATTGTAAATGCTGTCCTGAGG